CCAATATCGATCCTTCAAATCCATGTACATCTTAGTTCCACCCAGATACATCGTTAACGGACTGCAATGAGCCTCAGTCAATAAATCTTTCTTCAAATCCTCATTGTCTGGTATCACAATTTTTCCTTTATAAAACAAATTCTCATCCGACTTAACCTCAAAATCCTTAATATCTTTATTCTTTACTTGCTCAATTCTTTTCAAACACGTTTCATCTTTACTTTGCAATTCTCCTATTCGTTCCAGCCATGCTGGTTTAAGTTTTAACTCTGCACAAAGACCACCGTCTCCAGTTAAAGATAATCTTGCATCCATAGTTCGTAAGGCTGCAAACGTTTTCCTGCTCAAGGCATCTGCTACCACGTTAGCCTTTCCGGGGTGATAATCAATTATCACATCATAATCTTTTAGGAACTCAACCCATCTTCTTTGTCTCAGATTAAGCTCTTTTTGAGTCATCAGATACTTCAAGCTCTTATGATCCGTATACAAGTAACAACGCTCTTTGTAAAGATAATGACGCCAAATCTTGAGAGCAAATACAACAGCAACTATTTCTATATCATGGGTGGGGTAATTCGTTTCATGTGGTTTCAACTGTCTCGATGCATACACTACCACCTTCCCTTCTTGCATTAATACACAGCCCAAACCATTATGAGATGCGTCACTGAATACTATAAAATTCTTGCCAGATTCTGGTTGAACCAATACAAGAGCTTCTGTCAAAATTTTCTTTAAAGCTTCAAAGCTATCTTGACATTCAGAAGTCCAAACAAATGGTACATTCTTTCTCATCATCTTCGTTAAAGGCAGCACTATCATCAAAAAATTCTTAACGAATCTTCGATAATAACCGGCAAGTCCAAGGAAACTCCGAACTTCATATACGTTCTTTGGAACTTCCCAGTCCATTATAGCTTTAACCTTCTGAGGGTCCACTCTAATCCCATCTGCCGAGATCACATGCCCCAAGAAAAATACTTCGTTTAACTAGAACTCACATTTGGACAATTTGACATACAACTTTTTATCTCTTAAATTTTGCAAGACAATCCTCAGATGTGTACTATGCTCTTCATGGGATTTCGAGTATACCAGTATGTCATCAATAAATACAACAACAAACTGGTCCAAGTAGGGCTGAAAAATCTTGTTCATAAGATCCATGAAAGTAGCAGGTGCATTCGTTACTCCAAATGGCATTACAATGAATTCATAGTGGCCATATCTCGTTCTAAAAGTTGTCTTCGGAATGTCTTTCTCTTGAATCTTCAATTGGTGATAACTGAAACGTAAGTCAATCTTTGAGACTATCGAAGCTCCTTTTAACTGATCAAACAAATCATCAATGCGTGGGAGGGGATATTTATTCTTGATTATTACCTGATTGAGTTGTCGATAGTCAATGTAGAGACGTATTGATCCATCCTTCTTCTTAACAAATAATATTGGAGCTCCCCAAGGCGATACACTTGGTCGAATAAATCCCTTCTCCAGCAACTCTTGCAATTGATTCTTTAACTCTTGCAGTTCTTTTAGAGCCATTCGATAAGGTCTCATTGTAATCGGAGTTGTTCCCGGTATTATTTCAATTTGGAACTCTACCTCTCTACTTGGAGGTAATCCTGACAATTCAGCAGGGAAAACATCAGAGAACTCCCGAACTATTGGAATCTCTTCTAACCTTTTCTCTTGAGCTCTTGAATCTATCACATTAGCAAGAAAACCTTGACATCCTTGTAGCAGTAATTTCTTGGCAGACATCACTGATATTACATTTGCTAAAGGATTACACATTTCACTGATCACATTTACTTCTACTCTTTCTGGACTCTTCAAGGTTACCTTTTTCAATCTACAGTCGACATTCCTATAGTAATGAAACAACCAATCCATTCCCAGAATCAATTCAAACTCATCAAAGGGTAATTACATCATATTAGCAGGGAATTCAATTCCCTGAATCTTTATAGGACACCCCTTACAGACCTTGTCCACCCGAGCACTATGCCCTAACAGATTAGTTACTATCATCACATTACTCGTAGCTTCTACGGGAATTCTCAATTCATTTACTAATTTACTGGTAATATACGAATAATTAGAACCCGGATCAATCAACACAAATACTAATTTATCATACAGCTGAAAAGTACCTGTAACGATATCAGGATCATCACGGTCATCACTTGTCTTTAAATTGTATACCTGAGCAGTGGATCGAACTTCCGGTTGCACCGAGGATTCAGACTGATTCCTTCCTCTACCTCTTCCTCGTCCTCTCTATGAAGTGGAACCAACTCTCTCAGATGGTGCAGGCTCACCAACCAATAACGGGCAATCTCGGATAAAATTTCCAGCATCTTCGCATCGAAAACAAGTCGCAGAAGCTATACGACATACCCCAAAATGGTTATTCCCACAGTGCAGACACTGTCTCGCTTGACTCAGAGTAGATATCCCAACACCAGATCCCACTGACTGCGTCTGTCTAGGTCTTGCCTGACTTGCTCCCCTAGCAGACGATGCAACTGATTCTGATCTAGCTTGTGATCGAAATCCTGAGTCTCTTCCTCTTTTTGATGGTGTTGAGCTAGAAGAAACACCCGTTCTCTTTGATGTCTGAACTCTAAAATCCCTGAATCTCTCATTCTTAGCTCTTTCCAGAGCCTTTGCACGATTAATCACCTCTTTGAACGAGGACAAGTTTAATACTATCAGTATTTCTTTAAGTCTGGGGCGCAAGCCCTCCACAAACCATTCACAAGCATCTTTTTCAGTAGGCACAAGCTCAGATGCAAACCCGCTCAGCTTGTTGAACTCACATTCATACTCATATACAGAGCGATTCATCTATTTCAAATTCAAAAACTCTTGCTTTCATCTTCCGAATAAATTGATCTCCTATGTACTTGTTTTTAAATTCATCTAAGAATAAGGACCAAGTCAACTGGTCACTGGACATCCTCATGGTGATATTCGTCCACCATATCCTCGCCTGACCCCTCAGCAACGAGACAACTCTATCTAATTTCTCTACTTCAGAACAGTGGAGACCATCCAACATGATTTTCAAATCATTTAGCCAAAGATCCGCCGCAACCGGACCTTCCTCGGCTTCTCCCTTAAATTTAGGAGCTCCTAAACCTCTCAACTCTTTTACTACATTCATTCTTTGAGTTGGTGGAGCAGAAGGTTGAAGACGCGTCAGAATAGCGTCTAACGTTCTGAAGAACGTATCCTGATCTTGCACAGGCACTCCTTGAGATGCATGTTCTTCACCTCGCCTGGCTAGGGCAGGTGAATTATTGCTTTTAGCAGGCCTATCTTCTCCCGCTTTACTTCGGGAGCTATTATGTCTGGACATCTAATAAAATAAACACATTGTTTTATTAGCAAAACAACATACTCATACTATATCAAATCAGAAATTCTCACTATTTGTTGGCATGTATTCTATTTAAAGACTCTATAGACTCTGGTTTATGCCTAGAATCAGCTAAACCATAGCTCTGATACCATTAAATGTAACACCCCCAACCCGTACCCGACCCGGATACGAGTCAGAGATATTACATTGACTTTTAAAACACAACTCTTAACAAATAATAGCAAAATACTTGAACTTATATTAAGAAAATACAATAATATATATATGGTATTATGAGTTTACCAAAATATTCAGAGCATACACAACTTAACCCTTTAATTACATGCCAACTTCCATTTACATAACAAAATGACCTATTGATTAAGTTGCTTCTGATCTGATGGTTGCAGGAGTAATATTGTCCAGCTGCTTAACCTTGCTCGCCTACTTTCTCGGATCCTACGTGTGAAACACTCATACGCTAAGTCATCGACTTAGTGAGGTAATATAATAACAATGAAATATAATGGAAATGTCAACATGAGATAAAGTATTAAGATAATATATATATATTCAATGCAATAACCATAATCATATTTCATACATGTATACTTATCAAATTAACATTCCTGAGTTCAACTTATTAATTTTACCAGCCCATGATACCATACTGAGAACCTAAGGTATGTGAGTACTATGAGGTTGTGCACTATACTGTCACCACAGCTCGTATAAATGCACCGAAGTGCCGCGTAGAATTGCACTGTAGTGCCATATAATAATGTCCATAAGGACCACATATAATTCCTTAAGAATCATATACATATACTAGGGATCAAGTATGTATCTCACAAGAATTCACACATGTTCCAAAGAATATATACATATCCCGAAGGACCGTGTAGAATTTTGTCCCAAAGGACCACGTAGACCCTCTACCCTTGGCATGCCAACTATATCTATAGTTCTCATCTACATAACATGGGCTTTTATATTTCACGTAGTTATATCGCATAGACATGTAATTCTTACCTTTTCACATAGCTCATATAACTTTTCATGCATATTCATGTCACGTAATGCATTTTGTATAAATTCATGTCATGTCTCATAATACAAAATATGATCATGTATCAAAATATAAAATCTAGACTTATCACAAGTCTAGAATTGAGTATAGTTCTATAATCATGCTATGCATATGCACTCACCTAGATCTCCTTGTTTTTCCCTCGATCGTTCTTACTTCCCAAACATTCCGAAACTGATTTAAGGTCGGTATCTACACAAATATACAATTTAAGGCAATCTATCAAAATGTAACCTTAAAATTTGATACTAAAAGCTTGAACGACTTTAAGAAATCAACATTTCTATTTTCCTTTAAGGGGGTATCGATACCCTATTGGGGGAATCGATACCCTCATGACATTCTCGAATTCTGCTAGTTTCAAAGGGTATCGGTACCCATTCAAATGGGTACCGATTCCCCCTAGCCCAGAAATCATTTTTGAACTCAAAAATTCCTTCATTTTCAGCTCCATACCTCATACTTCACTTCCATTAATATTCCTAACTTTCATACATATAATTAAACTCGTTTCTACTCCATAATCACTTCCTTAAACTCTAAATCCTATCTTTTACATGATATTCAAGAATCATACTAAAATACCAACATGTTCTAACTTTAATTCTATCACCTTATAATTCTTAATTAGCTTGATAACAAGTCAAATCCAACTTCTAATTCTTATTATGACCTCTAATCCAATATTTCATTCAATGGCTTCTAACCTTTAATCTCCCTTAACTTACAATTCTTTGAGTTTCTACACCTCTTTTTCCTTCTATAATCTTTCTTAAGGCTTCCATAATCAAAACCATGCTTGATGTTGAAGTATTAATCAAGAGAAATTAAACTCACCTTAGCTTGAGCTCTTCACGTTGAAGAAGAAAATGAAGAAGAAAGAAAAATCAAGAGTTATCTGGAAACTCTTGTTTCTTTCACTTGGGTATTATAATACCCATTATCTATTATTTAATTATTACCTTTGCTCAATGACCCTTTTACCCTTTTAATTCTCATTCACTTAATAATTCATCCTACCCAACATCTTTAATTAATTCCTTCGCTTTTCGATTAATTTAATTTGATCACTGACATTTTAAAATCTTACACTTTAATCACTAACTCGGTATTGAAGATGTTACAATTCCTGGTAGGACTGTTTGCAACTTCTCTTCAAGGCTGAGATCATTCTTGAAGTATTTCTTCTTTAAGGAGCTCTTGTGGTCCCTTCATCTCTTCCCTAACGCTTGCTTCACATAATCGTGAGAGACCTCTAAAAAAAATTTCTCCTATACAGCAAATAAGTGTTCACCGTAAGTGTAAATTAGAAAAATTATTAATTGATCGGTAAGTATAAATTTCTCTATTATAATGACATTATTACCTTAACAAAATCCAACGCTTGATTTTTGTTACTATTAGGCATTTCGCGTCATGACTCGTAATTGATCGGTAACAGATTTGCATTACGTCTAACTATGCATAAGTAACCTGCTAGAAGACGTGATTCTGGGCCAATAGGTTGATCGACATCGTTTCTTGAAACTTTGACACGATGCCCAGGAGGAAGTTGGTATAATTCCTTCAAAGTTGTACGTCCTCGAGTCTTGCGCGTTCCAACATTTTCAACTATATAATAAATTATTAAATGCCAGTTTTGAAAATGAACAAAGTAGTAAATAATGTTTCGAAGATTACTTTGAATTTCTACTTCTTCTTCAACAGTTTCAGGAACTTCGGAAGACTCAGGTGCATTCGATTCCTCGTTATTTCTTTCTTTATGGTCTTCAGAAGCTCAAACAACCCGTAAATCATTTATTTTTCTCCTCGGCATGATATCTATAATAAACAAACATGAGTAATAAAAAAATGAATTAATGAATGAATATATTGAAAGACAACATGTTAAAGGTTATATCATTATAAATAAAAAAATGAAGATATAAAATCGTACAAAAGTCTTATGTAATGTCAATTTTCATAAATATCTTCATCAACGTCCTCCCGAACCCATTGAAATTGTGTTGTATTACTGATAGTTTCATCTAAGTTTTGTGGTAGTAGAGGTAAACATTCTGATCTTGTTTCAATGTCATCTCTACTTCCATCCCCGATGTCTATCAAGTCTCTGGGAGTATTTCGAAGCACAACATATCAACCATCATCCATTGGATCGTGACAATAAAATACTTGTTTCACTTGAGAAGAAAATACATATGGTTCATCCATCAAACATTGACCCGTGTGAATTAATCGAGAGAATTTCACCATTGTAAACCTGAATTTATCTCTTTTTATATATCTGTTTACATCAACCCAGTCACACCGAAACAGCACAACCTTTCATTTTCCATAATAATCTAACTCGATAATGTCCGTAAGATTTCCATAATAATCGACCTCTCCCTCATGCGGATTATTGTCCCTTACAGTAACATAACGTGTAGTTGACGAAGTAACTACGACTCCACAATTTTGTGTCCTCCTTAATCTTTCAAGAGATTTCGTGTGGAACATGAACTCATTAATGAGGAAGGCATTATATCTTTAAACTATTCTATTCAGACCTTGAGAAAACCATTTAACTTCTTCACTAACTTCTCTCCCACTCCAAACCTATTACACATGAATGGTGAATTAATTTGTATTGATGACGATATAAAAAGCAAGACATATATAATTTATAAGTGTTCCATAAGATTTAGTTGCTTACTGTCTGACCTAACCATTCATGAAAAGTTTCTGTGAATAACTTATGTAGCTCTCACTGATTTAATCTTCGGGAGCGTGCTCGAGATCTCAATACTTCTTTAAACTCACTATAAAGAATATTATGTCGTTAAAAATTGATAAATATAAAAGATAAAGAGATTTCATTAGGATTGGGTCTGAAAGACTTACGTACGAAATGGATCTATTGAATCGTGATGGAAAATCATTAATTGTCCATAACAAAGTCGCGCGTAAATTAAAGTTCTCCTTCATCAACACATCGTACGTTTCGACCCCTTCCCATAATTGTTTCAACTCTGCAATTAGCGGCTGCATGTAAATATCAATATCATTTTCGGGGCTTTTCTCATCGGGGATTATCATGGATAAGATGAAATATGATTGTTTCATGCAAATCTAGGGAGGCAAATTGTATGGAACAAGTACAACAGGCCAAGTACTATACGAAGTACTCATGATTTTGAATGGATTAAACTCATCAGTTGCAAGACCGAGCCTGACATTTCGAGGATCTCTCACAAAACTTGGATACTTATTGTCAAATGACTTCCAAGCTAAAGAATCCGCAGGATGTCGTAATAATCCATCATCAGTTCTGCCATCATGATGCCACCTCAAAGACTCAGCAGTCTTAGATGACAAAAACAATCTTTGAAGCCTAGGTATGAGAGGAAAATATCAGAGAATCTTGATCGGTTTCTTTCTTGATGGTGCTTGAGCTTCATCCTCAGTAACATTTTCTGCCTCCCAACTCATCCATCGAGATTTTCCGCATACATGACAAGACTCCTGATTTTTTCGATCACCCCAATACAACATACAATCATTCAGACAACTATGAATTTTGTCATATCGAAGACCCAAATCTTTTATCATTTTCTTCATATCTTTGCATGATTGAGGGATTTTTGCAAAAGGAAACACTTCTCCTAGTAACTCCAACAATTGCGTAAAGGAATTCCCAGTCCACCCTTCTAGGCATTTTAAGTGGAAAAGACGAATGCAGAAAGAAAGCTTTGAAAACTTTGATCCATCATAAAGTTGTTCATTCATTTCATTCAGCAGCTTGTAAAACTTTGCTGCTTCTTCATTTGGCTCTTCATCGCATTCAATTCTTCCCATCTCAATGGAATCATTAACATCAGTCTGCCAATAATTTTCTGTAACATATGGCTGACTATTGTTCATATTAAATGGATCTCGTAACATCCCTTCCATGTCATCTTCTCTAAAAGTTGGATGGTGAAAAGGAGCAGAATAAGTCGAATAACTCGTGGAAACAGATCTATTTGATACAAACTCTCCATGAAATATCCATTTTCTATACCCCCGAACAAATCCAAAAATAACTAGATGCTCGTACACAACTTCACGAATGTGCCAGTTAATGTTAACACAGTTCTTACAAGGGCAAAGAATCATATTCTCTTGGCTTGCATTCAGAAAAGCTAAATTTAGAAAGTTTTCGACTCCATTTCGATATTCAAAGCTCACCCTTGAGAAATCCATCCAAGTCTTATCCATTTCGTATTTCTGGAGTTTCAATTTCAAATGTTAAATGCTAATATTATAGAAAAAGTTAGAACCTAAACATAAGCATTAAACTATCATACTTAGTGCATACTAATATTTGCATAGTATAGAACTAATCACTCCTAAATTATAAGACTTTAAAATTAGAAAATGTTATGGAAGCAATTGTATCTCTGCTATTTTATAAAAATTATAAGGGTGCATATATAGAAATACATAATATAGAACTAATCACTTTCACAAATGTTTCATCGAAATCAATATGCATTTATATCTAAACAAACTCATGTTTCATTCTTAAAGAGAGAATATTACCTTTGTTTCTTGAGAAAAGTGTTCCTCACAATCGAATTAAATTCGAGCTGTTCAACTTAATTAACACCTAGAGAAAGAATTCAAACCGATGAAAGTGTATAACAAAAAAAATATCGACATTCATGTTATGCAAAAAAACCAAAAAAATGGTTTATTTATTGCAGAAAATATCGACATTGGTGTAGCTAATTATTCTAGGTAAACTATATTCATTGGTGTAGTTAATTATTCTAGGTAAACTATATATAATAATCGAATATATCAGATGAGCATCAACAATCAAATGGGAATGCAATGGTTATGCTTTATAAATTTGCTTGTTGTTTATTGGAGAGTGGAAATGGGTATTTGAAAGAAAACGGCTGCTTGAATTACAGTGTATCAAGCAGGGAAAGTTATTCATGGAAACAAATACTTTCAGAAAGAAACTAATTTTAAGTGTTCCTATATCAACTCATCCTGTAACTTTGTGTGTACTGTTCCATCATTTGTTTTACCTCTAATAATCAATAAATTGACAGATAATGTTTCCTAATTTTCCATCTTTATATGTAACAACAATCTTAATATTGAATTTCATAAATGCATTGCTTAATGAAGGTCAAGTATGCGTTTTCTTATGCCCTATTGATATGCCTGCTTATTGCAAACTTGAAATGGGGTTATTGAGAAAAAAATAAGCAACTGCTGAATTTTATGAAGCATTGAAAGTTTAGTGAATGGAAACAAATAATTTTAATAGTGCCGTAACTCAAACTGTCACTTATGAGTGATACTGCCAATAGTGCTGCAACTCAAACAATGTTATATCAACAAACACAGTAAAAGACTCATGTTGAGCAAATCCCACTTCACAACGTCTAATTTGTAACTAAAACAAGAGTTTACATTTCAATTTTTCTCTTTAATGCACAAACAACTTACTTTGAATAGAATATATATATACACAACACACACAAAAATATTGCATCAAAAACAGTAACAAAAATACATCCTATAAGAACTAAGAATAAGAAAAGATGGAGCCAGCAGAAGACTAAGGAAAGCAATACTTCACTAATAACTTCTCTATGAAGAGTACCAATAAAGAAATAAGCCTTGAGATACAATAATGCCTACGTAAATTATTACATATAAAAAGATAGGTCAAACGTGTGATGTGTTCAAACAATGAAAACAAACAGTAAACTCACAGGAATATAATTTAACAGCAACAAATCCTGTTGATAAATTTGACACAATAATTTCACTATTTTCGCCTAAAAACAAAAGAAATAAGCTCAACAAATCAATTTAACAGCTAATGCTTATCTCGAGACACTTTTTCCAAAGCAAAGGTATTCCAAAGCTAAAAGAAATACTATTAGTTCAATATAATACTTTTTTCAAAAACTTGGTCACTTTTTAATGGAGTTTATTTAGTTGGGCTGAAAAGAATTGTAAAGTGCAAGAGATCGCAAAGGAAATATTATGGGGTTAAGATTTTTAGTTCATATTACAGCTTGGGCGTATACAAAACATTTACAGTTCGAGTGTATGCAAAATTCTTCTCAATTTCTAGCTAAAAAAAAGAGACATAATTGAGCACATAAGGACAGGGTCCTAAAAAACAGCGATTCTTACACATACTCCTATAATCATCGAATGTTTCAGTGCTCTAAACCAATATCTGCCAACAGTCCCCTAATAAGAAACAAGGCAGAAGTGAAACTGAAATCAAATACAAACCACAAATTTTCATAATTAAACATCAAAACCAAATTAACACAGAAGGAAAAGGTCATCGTACCGACAAGATTTGTAGCAATTAAACGTTCTCCAACAGCTTTAACAGATTGAATCAAAGCGGCAACCTGGTTTGTATAAGGCACTCGAGTTTGTGAAATGACCGACTGAAGAAGTTCCACTGTCTATTTTGTTGTTGCCTGTGAACCTTCAATCTTACTGCCCAACCACCCAAACAAAGAAAGGGGTTCATATCTCTTTTTTTCCTTCTAATTTTTTTTCTAAGATACCAGTTTATAAATAAGATTACAGTATATTACTAAATCATTAACACCACCAGGCTTGAAAATTACCTTTATTATTGTCTGGAGCAACTGGTTTCACCATCCATTATGTGGTTTGAGGAGTGGAAGATGACTTTGTCGGGGCCTTTCTCGACAAAAGATTGCGGGAAATGATACATATGTTGAATAGAAAGGAAAGATGGCTCGAACGAAGGAGAATGAAGAATGAGAGAGTTTGATAGAAACATATTTAGAGTTTTTAACTAAGTTTGTGGGTGAAATTTAATTTGGGGGTGTTAGGGTTCGTCAGTAAACTGCAAAATGAAGAGGGAGATGAAAATTTAGGGTTTTTTATCTAAGTTTACGGCATTATCAAAAAAAATACCTCTATATTGTCGATATATTACGGCGTTTTTAAACAAAACGCCTCTATAGTACAGATATATCGCGGCGTTTAGGTAAAAAAATGTCACTATTGTTGAACTCGATTGCGACATTTATAGTAAAACGCTTCTATTATTCAACTCTATTGTGGTGTTTACATAACAAACACCTCTATAGATTAAACCTATTGCGGTGTTTGTACAAAAACGCCGCTAATTTATAAATATTTGCGGCGTTTGTTGAAAAAATACCGCTAAAATATAAATATTTTGTGGCGTTTGTTAACCAAACGCCACTATAGATTACAGCTATGGCGGCGTTTGTATAAAAAAACAGGAAAAGTAAAAATATTTTGTGTCGTTTCTTCATAAAACGCCACTATACAGTAAACCTATTATGGCGTTTATTAATATAAACGCCGCAAAAGTCAGGTATATAGTGACGTTTATTGATACAAACACCGCTAATGACCTTTATTTTATAACTTTTTATTTTATAACTTGATATTTTAAATATTTTATTTAGGCTCTACATAAACTAAAGTTACTATCATGTAGTTTTATCTAATTACCAACAACCATACATTTAATTTTAGGATACAAAAGTTATGCATAAAAATACTTAACAACAAAATACATTAAAATTTAAAAACATTAAAGTAATGCATAAACAGTCTTCACCATATTGTTTACTAGAATTTATTCTTCATTGCTCCTTCGTGGGGAAAGGACGTAAGAAAGTTGTTTTCCTTGTTTGACGACGCATCGTTAACTTTTTCCTCTGTGTAAACTCTATATGGAGAAACTCTTCATCCATTTCACCAAATAAATCCCCTAAATTCGGTTCACCAAGAACACTCCTTGCTCGCTGCAGTGCTTCATTTGAAACAGATAACGACCTTCCATCTACAGTATGAAACTTGATTGGAGGTGGCTTTGGAACTGAAACAAACATTAAATAAATTTAAATAGAAGATAAAAACGTTTACTTGGAGTATCAGTAGAGCCAATGTCATCTTCATTGAGGATAGATATTGCTTTTGCAATTGAAGATTCTTTCAACGCCACTGAGTTACCGATTTCGGTTCTAAACATCGGGTATTTATCCACTCCTCTATCATCGTTCTCAATAAGCTTTGAACATCCTACATGCGTGCTATCTATGAAATTTTAGAGTACAAAATAAAAATATAGTAGCATAAAATTTCAACGATTAATTATTACCTTCACTTAGTAGATCGGCCATGGAAGGGTATTTTACAATAGAAGGGCCTTTCGGGTCATCATCGAGTTTTGCTGGCAAGTTCGGACTGATAGCCTCCCAATGATAATTTGATCCATCGTCAGAGCAAAGACGCCACGTGGACATTCCGACTATATTTTCTGTTACTGAATAACTTATCTTGCTCTTCCTATAGATATTCACGTTTTCAAAAGCTATTATTTTCCTTTTCGAAAGTAATTATTTTTCTATTCGAAAGCAAAAAAACACTTCTCCCAAGCAGTAAACCAGTAAAACAATATGTATAGATATTCTTTTCCTATTCGAAAGCTATTATATTTCTCCATTATGTTAGTTTTCTGGGTTTTCCCCATTTTCAAAATACCAACAAAAAATAAATGAAAAGTTCAGTAGTGAGAGAATGGATCAAACCTTGCAATCGTGAGATAATTGTTCGCTAGTGAGAGGGCAAATTTGGTCGCCGGGACATACAAAAGACGATGTCGGCTGCAATTGTGTGAGGGTCGTTGTTGTACGAGAGAAATCCCTTTTAGGGAAGCAGCGTTGAAATGATTTTAGGGATTGGGCAAGAGAAAAGTGTGGAGCATATATTGATACTTTTGCAGCGTTTTTAAAAAAGCATCATTGTAGTTCATATTTTTGCGGCGTTTTTTGCACAAACGTCACTATAAACAATACTATTGCGGCATTTTTTATTAAACGTCGCGAAATTACTTCTCTATAGCGTCGTTTGTTGAACAAACGCCACTATAAACAACACTATAGCGTCGTTTGTTTAAAAACACCGCTAAATTACCACTCTATTGCGGCGTTTATTGAAAAAACGCCACTATAAACATCTCTATTGCGGCGTTTGAGCTATAAACGCTGCTAAATTACCCTCTATTACGGCGTTTGTTTAAAAAAACACCGCTAAAGTGTCATTTTGTGGCGTTTGTATTGTAAACGTCGCGATATGCTTAAATGTTGTGGCATTTTCCCTTAAAGCGCCGCTACATAACACTTTTGATGTAGTGACATCATGTAAGTAACCATGTGTCGATCACTTACTACCCTTGCGAACACACCCTTGTAATATCACCAACGACCATGTGTTGACACATGTGATCTCATAGTTTAAGCTCTCACACCCTAGGACGTCTAATCAGTACTAGTGACACGATAACTCTTTATCTAGAGTATTATAAATATGCAACCAATGGAGCGTAGAAGGGGACTATGGACTCAAACCCGACAAATCACCAACATCCCAAAAGCTACCAGAATCATCATTCTACCACCCTCTACCAGTGTTGATGACTTCACCCGACAACAATAATAAAAATATAAAATCATAAGATCAATGTATCTTAATATTTTTATTTTTTTCCTTTATTTTAAATTTTGTATACTTTATTATTTTCACCCGGAGAGTAAGTTTACCCATTCCAAGTAATACATAAATATCTCAAAATATAAACAATACAAATATAGAATACTTAACACAACTAATAAATACTAAAATATAATTGTCCTTTACCAATTAGGACGAAATACATAATAAAATAGAAAGTCGAAAGCTGTTCATCCTAACTTCATACATCATCTTCATAAACTGCTTCTTCAATATCCTCTATAAAATCATTCTCTTTCTTTTCGTCTTTTATTTAACTAAACAGGTTCTCTTCTTCTTCTTCTTCTTCTTCTTCTTCTTTGATTTTCATCTTCCAAAAACAAAATTAAATTTTTTATTTTCCTACGTACGTTAGCATGGCGGAAGCTCCCACCGAAACCCAACAACGTATTTTCCACTTTGGCGACGATGGAGCGGACGCTGGCAGTAAACATGGGCCGGCGCCGGCATCAAAAGCTTCGATAGAAGCAATGCCGAGCATAAAAGTGAAAGAGAGCGGTGGAGATTGTAGTATTTGTTTGGAAGAGTTTGAAGTTGATGAGGAAGCTAGGGAGATGCCATGCAAGCACGTGTTTCATTCGGGTTGTATTCAGAAATGGTTGCAGATCCATGGATCGTGTCCCGTTTGTCGGTTTTTGATGCCCGCTGAGACGGTCGAAATCGGAGGCGGTGATGATGGTCGGAGAAGTTCGGAAGATGCGGAGGTTATTGGTTTGGAGTTTTTACATATGCTTTTATCTTTTGCTAGTCTGGCAAGCTTCATGGGTGCGTGGGGTTCAGGTCGGGGTCCTCATCAACCTGGTTCGGGTCGTTTTGATGATGATACATCTTCCGATTAAGAAGCGTACTGCAACAGCCAACAATAAGTTAGTTTAATGGGACGGGTACTAAATTTTTTAAACTATATCATAGATTTGAATCTTGACATTTTTTAATCCCGTAATTAATTTTTGTAAAGTGATTAATTAAAAAGAAAATCCAACTGCAACTTAAACAAATTATTACTATTTTTTTATTTATTTTCCCTTGAAGAAGCGAGAAATTGTAAAAATAAATTAAAAAATAATTTTATTATTAACATATTTTTTAATATACAATTATTTTTTTAAAAGAAAAACTTATTAAAATTTATACATTTTCAAATGTTTAAGGTTTCAATTCCAATTATCATGTATTATCCAAAATCATTGCATGTATATATGGACAAGAAAAAATTCACATTTATGATAATCAATAAAGACTTAAAAATTTGAGGTGTATTATTTGATTTTTCTAAATGATTGTCATTAACTTCATATCTAGACATTTTCTTTCGTCAAGGATATGCAGACTTTTTCATGAGAAAAGCCCACATAATATTCAATTAAAATTAAAATTATTTTTTTGACAATAAATACACATATATTTACATACTCTGTGCTTAAACTCATAACCTTAAGAGACAACAACAAATCTATTAATCATTGAGGTCGTTTGGTTCGTGTAAAAAATTGAAAGAGACTTAAAATTAAAATTATTAAATAATATTTTAAGGGACTTAATTGTAAAAAAAATGAAAGGAAATGAGTATGAAATGACAATTATATGTATCCCATAGGGAATATATTGAACATAAAAGAAACTAATGAGCTTTGAAAAAAAAATTACCATATAATGTTCATAGTGTCTTGATTTACAAGGTACATATCCAAAACACTATAACAAAGTGTTTGCTAAAAGGTACAAAATTGATCATAATCAAAACGAACAAAGGACACCTATAAAACCTATCCAAAACACAACATTAGAAAACGCTCAGATCAAAATACCAAAGCAAAAAAACATCTTATACATGTAGCAGCCAAAATTTGTAAGAATATCGTCCATCTGATAGTACTTCACTTACACTAATAAAAGTTAAATATCACGAAACCTTTAATGTTGAAGAAGCATTTCAAAACTGAAACAAACAAACACGCCCAACAATACTTAAACAGCACTACCAAAGATCGACCCAAAAATAGTTGGACGTCAATTTACTGACTGATATATGATAAAATTTGATCCCAATATCTTGAACGACTATACAACTCAAACGGTTCTAGATCAAACTTTATCATATCTCAATCAGCGGGTTAACATCCAGTTTAGACGTCTGTCAATTTTTTTAACAGAAAATGACGAGTTTGGAATATATGAATAGTCAGTTGGCTATTTTGTAACTTTTAATAATCGAGGGGCTCAACAAAATAGTGTCTTATAATCAAGAGAATATTTTGTAACTTTTAATAGTTTAGGGACTCAACAAAACAATATGTTGAAAACATTTTGATATTTCGATATAATAAATTAAGTTAAATGAATTTTAAGATTTTCCAAATAATTTTCTAAGTATATTCGATATAACTATTCGAATATCAAAACATTACTCCAAATCTTTCAAAAATCATTTTTAATCCTTACTCAAGTGTAAAATTAAGTTTTAATCTTAAAACAATTTCAAAATAATTTTACAAAGTATTTCGAACCATTTCAAAGTCAAAAATTCCAGATTACTCATAGGGAACCGATTCCCCCTGAATTGTTTGGCTCCGAGAATTCCAGTATGCTCGGAGGGAACCGATTCCCCCCCAGGGGTACCGATTCCCCCCTTGTATAACGGTCGAAATATTTGAATTTTACACTTAGGGAACCGATTCCCCATAGGGGGAACCGATTCCCCCCACGCTCCAAGCTGTTTTATTAATTGTTTTCACACTAAAACGGCTATATGATCTTCACTAATCATCCCCAACGTTCAGAAGTGATTCAAGGTGTATTTAAACAAGTTCTGAAGCCTTTGATCAAGAAGAAATCATAGAAAAACAAGAGTGAAAGCATCAAACACCAAGTTTGTGCAAATCAAGCCAATTTTCCTTTCAATATTCATTTTGCTTTCAAAGAACATCATTTGTGCTCATTTGTAATTATTTGTGAGTGTTCTTTTCTTGTTCTAGAATTGTGCAAACATCTTACCTTGTGAGGTTTTCCTTGTAAGTTTGCAAATTTGTAATCTTCTCTTTGGGAAAGAGTGTTCTCAAGAATTGGGGTATATTCTTGAGGGTGTTGTAAGGTTATCTCTTTGGCCTCAAAAGAAAGAACAAAATAGTGAATTTGTTGGAAAATCCTTAGTGTGGATAGCTAAGGTAGTGGATGTAGACTTTGATTGAGAAAGTCGAACCACTCTAAATCGATGTGCAATTACTTTCAATTTTCTGCAAAAGCTTCCACCAAATTTTTAATTGCCAATTCACCCCCCTCTTGGCCAATTCCGTCAATCGATTAACTCAACAATTGGTATCAGATCCTAACTCATTTGAAGGTTTAATCGCCTCTTGATTCGATTCGGGAAGAGTCATATCGATAATCAAAGTCATCAATGACCTCCGCTTCAAACTTCAACTCCGGTCTCGATTCGATGCCCGTCAACAAGCCTCCTTTCTTCAATGGAGCTAACTATGCGTATTGGAAGAATAGAATGATGTACTTCATTCAAGCAAGTGACATGGGAGCATGGAATATCGTAGTAGAATGATACATCAAGCCTCTCACTCATCCAAGATTGTGGAGTGAAGGAGAGACAAAAATGTTCCAGCTCAACTCCAAAGCCATCCATATCATTTTTTGTGCTCTTGGACCAGATGAATACGGAAGAGTTTCATCGTGTACAACCGCCAAAGAAATATGGGACAAACTTCAAGTCACTCATGAAGGTACCGATGAGGTAAAGAAATCTAAAATTAGTATTCTAACGCATAGCTATGAAAATTTCAGGATGAAACCAAATGAAGATATCAAAGCTATGACGGATAGATTCTCAACGATTGTCAATGGTCTCAAGTCATATGGAGAGATCATTTCAAATGAAAAGCTTGTGAGGAAGTTAGTCTACTCCCTCCCAAAATCGTGGCAATCAAAGAAGACGGCAATCATCGAGTCTAAGGACTTAACGTCCTTAACTCTTGAAGAGCTAATTGGGTTACTCCTCACTCATGAAATGATGCTTGAAGATGAGGTGGACCTTGATAAGATTAAAGAGACACCAAAGGAGAATGAGAATAAGAAAAAGAAAAACATTGGAGTTGCTCTCAAATCCACAAAAGATGAGAGTGATTCGGATGAAGATGACGATGACGAGGAAATGGCATTGTTTGCCAAACGGTTCAGAAAAATGATGAGACCTTACCGAGGAAGAAAATTCAAACGAAATGAAGGCCTCAAAAATGAACCAAAAGAGAAAGATCCAATCATTTGCTATGAATGCAAAAAACGGGGCATGTCAAATATGATTGCCCACAATTGAAGAGAAATGGTCAATCAAAGAATAAGCACAAGGCTCATGTGGCTACATGGAGCGACGAAGAAGGTTCCGACAAAGAGGAACAAGAAGTAGCAAACTTGTGCTTGATGGCATTTGGGGAAGATTCTAAGGTAACCTCTAACTCATCTGATTTTGATGATTTATCCTATGATGAATTATTAGAGGAATATAATGGGTTAGCTTCGGATTATGAGAAATTGTTTTTAAAATATAAAAATGATGTTTCAAAATTGAAAAATGAAAATAAGCTCATATCCAAAACCAACAACGATCTTGAAAGTAAGATCAAAGATTTGCAAATCAAACTAGAAGAATTTGAAAAGAAAAATTTAGATTTGCAAAATTTACTTTCAAAGGTCAATGATGATCATCAAAAGAAAATTGATGATCTTAAAGCTTCTTTTGATAAAGTTGGAACAAAACGTTTTTAATGTGGAGAAAATTCTAAATCCACCTTTGTTAGAAAAAGTTTTAAAAACTACAATCATAGAGGTCCCCAAAGAACCTCTAATGGAAAAATTGTTAGAAGTATATGGGTTCCTAAAGAGCTCATTACTACTAAAGATAAGGATATCCTACACAAATGGATACCTAAGGGGACTAGAATTTTGGAAACTAATGAATATGGACCCAAAAGAATTTGGGTACCAAAAATTAGAAATTAATCTATGTTTGTAGGAAAAGGAGCATTGCTACAAGGCACGGGAAACAAATTCAAACTCATGGTACCTTGATAGTGGATGCTCAAGACACATGGCCGGAGATAAAAGCCGGTTCATTAAGCTTAACGCTAAAAATGGAGGAGAAGTGACTTTTGGTGATGATTCAAAAGGTCACATTGAAGGTATTGTTACTATTGGTAATACCTCTTCCATACAAATTAAGAATGTTTTATATGTGAATGGATTAAAGCATAATCTATTAAGTATTAGTCAATTTTGTGATAAGGGATTCAATGTCATGTTTGATATTAAAGGTTGTAAAGTCATTGACATTGCATCTAATCAGATTATGCTTATTGGTCATAGAATAGGAAACATATACATGGTGCACTTAGATTCTATTGATATGACTAATTTGTGCCTAGTTACTAAGGATGAACATAATAGTTGGTTATGGCATAGGAGACTAGGACATGCTAGTATGAGTGTTTTGCAACGGCTAATTCAAGGTGATTTAGTTCGAGGGTTACCTAAGCTTAAATTTGATAATGATAAAATCTGTGATGCTTGTGCTAAAGGAAAACAAAAGTGAATTTCTTTTAAATCCATTAATGACGTATCAACTAGTAAAGTATTACAATTGATCCATATAGATCTTTTTGGACCAACTAGGACTACTAGCTTGAGTGGAAAACAATATGCATTTTTCTTGGTAGATGACTATTCTAGATATACTTGGGTTCTATTTTTAAGTACTAAAGATGAAGCATTAGAACAATTCATCACGTTTTCAAAAGTAATCCAAAATGAAAAAGGTTACTCTATAACTAGTGTTAGGAGTGATCATGGAACTGAATTTGAAAATCTTGGATTTACTGAATTTTGTAACTCTAACGGTATTAGCCATAATTTTTCAGCACCTAGAACCCCTCAACAAAATGGAGTTGTTGAAAGGAAAAATCGAACTTTAGAAGAAATGGCTAGAACCATGCTTTGTGAAAATAATTTGCCAAAAAAATTTTGGGCGGAAGCCACAAATACCGCTTGTTATGTTATAAATCGAGTAATGATTAGTCCAATTTTAAAGAAAACTCCATATGAAATTTTCAAAAATAAAAAGCCTAACATTAGCTATTTTCATCCTTTTGGATGTAAATGTTTTGTTTTAAACAACGGTAAAGAGAACCTTGGCAAATTTGATGCTAAAAGTGATTAAGGAATTTTTTTGGGTTATTCCTTAAATTCTAAAGCTTATCGAGTATTTAATAAAAGAACTTTAGTTTTAGAAGAGTCTATACATGTTGTTTTCTATGATAATCCCCTTCCGAGGAAGGATTCTTGTGTGAATGATGATGTAGGTGTTATAAATACAAATGACGTTAGACATGACGTTGGAGAACCATCATCAAATGAAGAAACAACAAATGAGGAAACTCATGATCCTTTTGAGAATCCAACCATTGAAGAAAGGGAAGTATCTTATCCAAGAGAGTACAACTATGTCAAGGATGGTGAAATTATAGGTGATTCATCCAAAGGGGTAACAACTCGATCTTCTCTTAGAAATATTTGTAATTATGTTGCATTTATCTCATGCATAGAGCCTAAGAATATTAAAGAAGCATTAAATGATGAACATTGGATTATGGCTATGCAAGAAGAGTTAAATCAATTTGAGAGAAGTAAGGTGTGGACATTAGTTGAAAGGCCTAGTAATAAATCTACTGTAGGTACTAGATGGGTATTTAGGAATAAGCTTGATGAGAGTGGTAATATAGTGAGAAACAAGGCTAGACTTGTTGCTCAAGGGTATACTAAAGAAAAGGGCATAGACTATGATGAAACATATGCTCCCGTAGCTAGGATGGAAGCAATTAGAATGTTATTAGCATTTGCATGTTTTCATGAATTTAAATTATATCAAATGGATGTTAAAAGTGCATTTTTAAATGGTTTT